AACCACTTCATAATTTCTTGATACCAATATGCTCTTGTTTTTGTGTTTGTGCACAGTGACAATAATGAAAGATGGTCATAAATACATGAACAATATGAAAAGAAAATCGCAGACGATGCAAAGGAGGCCATCCAGGCATGCATCTCCGAGTTCAACAACTTCATTACTGTCGAGGCGAACAACATATGCCACCGCGACTACCGAAGAACAGTCACGCCGGAGGACGTGTTGGCGGCGTTGGTGTTGTTGGGTTTTGGCGACTACATAGAGCACCTCATCGTTTTCCTCAACAAGCATCGAGCCCATCAGGACCTCGAGCGCGGCTCCATGAATCAGTTGGCGCAATTCGTTAGGCGCGACGACGACAATGCATATATGTCGTGCAGCTGTGGCCGTGGAGAAGGCTCCTCCGACAGCCGCGAGTTTGATCTGTTTCATAAATTTTAATTAATGCAAGTGTATTGTGATATAAATGCACTAAAAAATTATAGACAAATTAAATACTCTTTTCTATTTGTACCTTTTTATTTAGTTTACTTATTATTATTTTTATGGATTGTTAGAGATTTTTCTTTGCATTTAAGAATTGTTTTAAATTTCTATTTTTTAATATTCAATGATTTCATTATAATATGTTTCTTTACAAAAACATGACTATACAATATAGTCAATATCGTGATACGATAATTTTTTTATAGAAACGATATAACTCAACAATCGTGCGACACAATAGGAAATTTATGATATTTTTTAGGGGGTTATTTGTGCGATTTCATCATATTTTGGGATGATTTTGTCCGATTTTCATCATATATGTGGTGATTTGTGCGATTTTTATCACATTTTGGGTGATTTATGTGATTTTCATTATATATAGAATGCACTTAAGGAATGTAAATGTGTTTTGAGGTCTTTGAGATATACCATTGTCTAATATTTGTTTCTTAGTGTGAACACCAAATTCAAAATTTCTAGGATTTCAAAAAAAAAAAACATTATCCAATAATTCTAATTCATCCTTAATTTTATCAAATGTGTAATCTGAGTCGACCATCTCAACCATAAGGGTGACATGCTTTCTTAATTGATCTTATCATACATGATTTATGTTTATTGTGGTTTACATCTCTCGTTTATTGTGTATTTTTTATTATCTAAAAAATACTGATAAACTATAAAAAGTAAAAATAAACAAATAAATAAATCGTCTAATATCAATTATTTTTTAGGGGAACTACATATTACCCAAGGAAGATGACTTATTTGTAATCCTATTCAAATCAAAATGGTCATACCAAAAAGCTCATCTCTTTGTCTCTTGCCCAAAATGCCCCTCACAATATAATTAACATCAATTTCATCCGTAATGTCCCAACTTAAGAATATTGCATATTGAACCCAAATTTAGCAAATATATCACATTAACTATTCAAATTTCAAATATATCACATTAACTTTAAATATTGTAAACCTTAACTATGCAAATTTTATGTACATAATGTAAAAAATTATGTAGATTCCTTAAAAAACACAAATCTACTTCAAATACTTCGAACATAAAATATACTATATATCCAGTTAATGAAGACATTCCCGTAAGTCAAACTTTACGAATTCCTTTTTAGTTTTCATCGATCTTGTCTCCATTTCAATGCAAATCGAGTAATAGCTAGAAAAGCTGGTTCTCGTTCTTGATCGACCAGCAATTTCGACAAACTTATCGGATCCCATTCTTCTCTTTTACCGCCACAATCGTTTGGCAATTCCGGCAGACTTTTCGGACGCCACTTTTTCCGATTTTTGAAATTATAGTTTGACAGTTCTGACAGAGTTACCGTACGCCATTCTTCTTCATCGCTGTCCTTAATTTGCAAGCTCACTTGCTCCAAATCTTGTTTACATAACTCATTGTCTTTTTCTCCAAGAACCTCCATCTACATTATAAACAATGCCTATATCATCTTTCCGACGATTACATAGACAAAAATTGCAACGGTCCAAAAAAAATATAGAATTAACAACCAACTTGCAAAAAATGATGGAATTATATAGATATGAAGTAACGGATACAAGAACCACCCGGGAAGCTCTAACACAGAAAGTGCTTCGAAGGTTAAATTCAACACACACTCAGACGCTCGGAGAAGACGAAGATAGACAACACAATATCAGCTGCCATCTCCATACTCAAACTTAGTATATATATAACCCTAATAATAGAAAGTGTTGGATAGAAATAGAAAACGTGAGAATGAAACACGACTCTAAGTTGTTGAGTATGAGCTGGAAGTCAGCTCCTCGGTTGCCGCGTGTCGTTCCCTCATTCGCCGTTACAAAGTAAATAATATAATAAACGCTGCTGCTACTACTAAAAGAAACGCGTACATGAAATGCGTTTTGACTCAATACGACTTTACCCTACAAAAGTAATTATAACTATGTAATTATCGAACGTAATTAAGATGCATGGGCTGAGCTATGCATGGGCTGAGCTCTTCTTCTTTCTTAATGTGGATGCCATTTTTCTTGCACGTAACAATTCCCTCTTCTCAAAATGTCCTTGTTCTCAAGGAAAAATGATGGATAATGCCTCTGAAAATCTTCATAGTCTTCCCATGTGGAGTCTTCCTCTGCCATGTTGAATGATTTAATTAATAGTTGAGTTGGTGCTCGGTTGTTGCGCTTAACTATCCTGCAATCAATAACAAACTGTGGTTCAAGTATAATGTGCCCGTGTGCAGTGATTGAAGTGGGGAGGTGTTTTTGACTGATATGTGTGCCTATTTTCTTCTTCAATTGAGAGACATGAAATGTACGATGAATCTTAGAGCCTTCTGGCAATTCCAGTGTATATGCAACCTCTCCAACTATATGAATCACCTTATAAGGACCAAAGTATCTTGCTGACAACTTATGATAAGTGTGACCCTCACTGATTGTTGTCTATACGGCTGCAACTTCACAAAAACCCAATCTCCTTCAACAAAAGATCTCTCACTCCTCTTCTTGTCTGCATGCACTTTCATTCGATTTTGTGCTTTCTGTAAGTGATCCTTTATAATTCTGAGTGTAGCTTCCCTATTTTGTAAGCTTCTGTCCACCATATCATTGAGTGACTCCATGGGTGAGTAAGGTAAGTGCAAGGGAGGTTTCTGCCCAAACATGACTTCATAGGATGTGGTATGAATAGCTGAGTGGTAGGTGGTATTATACCACCACTCTGCCAATGATAGCCAATTGATCCATTCTTTAGGTCTGTCTCCAGTCATGCACCTCAGTTAAGCTTCTAAACATTTGTTCACTACTTCTGTTTGTCCATCTGTCTGAGGGTGGTAAGCAGTAGAAGTGTGTAACTGAGTTCCCTGCATTTTGAAAAATTATTGCCAGAAGTTGCTCATGAAAATGGGATCTCTGTCACTCACAATCACCTTAGGAATCCCATGTAATTTGTACACATGATCCATAAAAACTTGGGCCACTAAACTTGCTGTGTATGGGTGTTTGAGTGCTATCAAATGTGCTCCTTTGCTTAATATGTCTACCACCACCAAAATAGAATCCTTCCCTTCTGAGCTGGGTAATCCACTGATGAAATCCATGGAAATTTCCTCCCAAATTCTATTTGGAATAGGCAAGGGTTGTAACAATCCTGGGAAGGCCACTGTCTCTCCCTTGTTCCTTTGACACACATCACAGTTTTGAATGAACTTGTAGACATCAGATTTAAGACCCTTCCAATACAACAATTGTTTGAGTCTATGTAATGTATTGTGAATGCCAGAATGTCCCCCAATTGAGGAAGCATGGTAGTGGTGGAGGATGAGTTGTTTCAAATTTTCTTGGTTTCCCACCATGAGCTTACCCTTTCTGAATAACAGATTGTTATTCCAAGTATAAGATGCCCTCTAATTGGTCCCATTCTGTATAGCAGTGATTATTTTCTCCAGTGTAGGGTCCATTCTATAAGCAGCCTTGATCTCTTCTACAAATGGACATTGGTGCAAGGTTAAAGTGAGTAATGTGGGATGTGTCTTTACTCTAGATAGACCATCAGCCACTACATTTTCCTTTCCCTTCTTGTACATAATGGTAAAGTCATACCCCATCAGTTTCACTAACCATTTTTGCTGAGCTGGAGTACATACTCTTTGATCCATAAGATATTTCAAACTTTGATGATCAGTTTTAACCACAAAATGACTGCCTATGAGGTAAGGTCTCCATTTCTATGAGGTAAGGTCTCCATTTTTGGATGGCAGTTACCAATGCTAGGAGTTTTTTCTCATAAGTAGATAGCCCCCATTGCTGGATAGTTAAAGCCTTACTCATAAATGAAATAGGTCTTCTTTGTTGCATGAGAACTGCTCCTAACCCACTGCCAGAAGCATCTGTCTCTACCACAAACTCCTTGGAAAAATCTGGCAGTGCTTGAACTGGAGTTTGTATCATGGCTTGCTTCAGCTCTTGGAAAGCCAATTGAGTTGATTCATTCCACTTGAAATTACCTTTCCTTAGAAGAGGAGTTAATGGTTGGGCTATCCTTTCATAATTTTTCACAAATCTCCTATAATAACTTGTCAGACCAAGGGACCCCCTTAACTCCTTCAATGTTCTTGGTACTGGCCATTCCACCATGGCTTGTGTTTTGGTTGGATCTGCTGCCACTCCATTAGGTGTAATGATGTGTCCCATATATTCTATGGAAGTAGTGCCAAATAAGCATTTACTTTTCTTCAAAAACAGTTGATTTCTGTGTAATATTTCCAAGGTTTCTCGTAGCTGATTCAAATGAGAATTCCAATCTCTGCTGTAGACTAAGATATTATCAAAGAACACTAATATAAACTTCCTCAACTGCTGTTGCAAAACATTGTCCATTAAGCTCTGAAAGGTTGATGGTGTATTAGTTAATCCAAATGGCATCACTAGGAACTCAAAGTGGCCATGGTGTGTTCTAAATGCAGTTTTCATCACATCTTCCCTTTGCATTCTAATTTGGTGGTAGCCAGATCTTAAATCAAGTTTGGAGAAAACACTAGCCCCATGTAATTCATCCAAAAGTACCTCAATCACTAGAATAGGGAATTTGTCCTTGATAGTATGCTTATTCAACTCCATGTAATCTACACACATCCTCCAAGTGTGATTCTTCTTCTTTACCAACACCACATGATAAGAGAAAGGGCTAGAACTAGGTCTAATTACTCTTGATTGCAGTAGTTCTTCTACTATTTTCTCAATCCCAGTCTTCTGAACAGTGGGATATCTGTAAGGCCTCACATTTACCGCTTCAGTTCATCCCTCCAAATGAATTATGTGATCATGTGATCTATTAGGTGGTAAGGACTTGGGCTCCATGAATAGGCTTCCATACTCAGAGAGTAAATGTTGTAAGGGTTGATCTGGATAAGCTTCCAATGACTGGAAGCTTGCTTCAATGGTGGCTGATTCCCCCTCAGCTCTTCCATACTCCTCACATTCTTGCATTGTTCCAATGCATTGGTATGTAATCTGTGAAGGATTCTGCAGAATCTTGTTAAGCTTTTTGTTGGAAACCACCTTAACATTATTCTGATGGAGGCCTCTAAGCATCACCTTCTTGCCCCCATAATTAAATTCCATCTTGAGCTCTTGATAGTTGCTAATTATGTCTCCCAAGGTTGCTAGCCATTGTATTCTCAACACTAGATCACAAGTGCCCCATGGTAATGTCATCACATATGCTGTAAACTCCACACCATGCATTACAAAAGCAGTGCATTTGTACTGACTTCTCAACATGTTTCCTTCTGCTACTGTAACTGAGAAGGGTTTAGATTCCACCAGTTTACATCCCAGTAATTTGGCTGTTTCAATATCTATGAAATTATGAGTGGCTCCATTGTCAATCAATATCCTAATACTCTTCCCTCTAGATGAACCCTTCAGCCTCATAGTTTTGTAATCATGAGCTCCAATTATTGCATGCACAGATACATGGGAGATAGGTTCATCTCCATCCTATTCATCTTTATCCTCAGATGTCAAGGTGGAAGGAGACTCCAACTCACTTTCCGGGCTCATCTCCTCATCCCCAATTTCCATTACATACATCTCTCTCCTTTTTGGGCAGTAATTATCTCTGGAGTACTTCTCATCACACAAAAAACAAAGACCCTTAGCTCTATGTTCATCAAAATCTTGGTTGGGTATTCTTCGGTTTGGGCTCATAGAAGGGTTTCTGGATGGATAGTTGTTTGGTTTAGGCAGGATTGGGGGTGAATAATGAGGGTTGTGGAGGGTTTGGGTGGTTGGGAATGGGGTGTGTAAGTAGGGTTTCGGTTGAGGGGTAAGGGATTGGGTCGATGGTGGGTGTAATTGGCTCTAATGGGTGGTTGAGGTGTGGGTTTTTTTGATGAAGTTAATTCCATGGATTGTTCTTGTAAGTTGGCTAGGCTCACTACTTCCATCATTGTCTTAGGTTTAAACATACAAATGGAACTGCAATCTCTGGTTTCACTCCTCCTAAGAAGCAACTAACTCCTTGTGACTCTGAAAGATCCACACTATTCATCAGCACATCGAACTGGTCCAAGAACTCTTGCAGTGGTCCAACTTGCTTCAGATTTATCAACTCAGACATGGGATCTTCGAAAAGCAGTGTTCCAAATGTGTTGTTGAGGGCTTGAATAGGGGTGAGCAAGTCGGACCCATCAACCCGCTACACCCGTCAAACCCGTGAAAAACTGCCCCGTTGGGACCGGACGGTTAGATCCATCCATAGGATTGGGTCCTAAAACGGTGAAGAACCATGGGTTTGGGTCTAAGACGGGTTCAATTTTTTTTAATACCTGTGAAACCCGTCCCGCCCCGCCATACAAAACGAAGTCGTTTTTTTACATTATATAGTATAATAAATTAACAATATTAATGAATAAATAAAGTATCTCTAGTCTATCAAATACATAAATAAACTAAACTATAATTGTGGAAGTACTAGCTATAAAGATTATGAAAATCTCTAAGAAAATGTAGGGAAAAAAGCATATATATATACAACGATCAACACGCGGTAGAAAAAAAAAAGGAAGAAAATAGTGTTGAATGGAGCTGAATAGCGTTGGTTATGCTTAAAATGCTATATTTATTTTATTTAAATTTTGTCTTTTAAGTTCTCAATTAGTTATTTTTAGTTCTATATTAATTTTTATTTATTCTTAACATTTACATTATTTATGTTTGCTTTCAATTTAAAATTTTAGGTTATTCATTTTAGTTTCTAATTATTCTCCCATAAAACATATAAATTATATAACAAAAAAAAAATAGTTTAGACGATAACGGCTTTCGACCCGTTAAGGTTGGGTCCTACTACAAACCCGCCATGGACCCGCCTATCGTAAACCCGTTGAAAACCCACAAGTTTGGTTCTTCAAAATCAAGAACCGTTGTTTGACGGGACGAAGGCGGGTTTTGATAGAACCCGCGGGTTTATGACCCGTGCACACCCCTAGGCTTGAATGTACTCATCCCAATGAGGAATCTCCCTGGTTAATCTGGCCTTCATATATGTTTGATGCCACAGTAACGCTCTCCCATCCAAGTTCATGGAATCCAGCTTCACCTTAGATCCCATCGGTGTTTCATCCACGTCAAAGAATTGTTCACATCGGTACACCCATGCCTTCAAGTCTGTACCATCGAACCGTGGAAACTCTACTGAAGAGCATTTCGTAGGCATCTGGTAGTCCTGACCCCCTTGATATTCACCTCTGCTCTGTCTTCCCTCTGGATCTGGGACTCGAGGCACCTCCGCCGGTGGATCTGGAATTCCGGTGAGTTTAGTTAACATCACTGTCGTTCCCGCAAGCATTTCCTGCATATGTCTGCTACTCTCCTCTCTACTCTTATCACTGCTCTCTGCCAGAGAATGGATCTGGTCCATCAGTTAATCCATCTCCTTGCGCAGCTCAGCGTATCTGGTTCCTTCTGCCATAACTACACCTTTCTACTCCGGTTCCCGAGCCGCCGAGGATCGACGGCTCTGATACCAACTGCAACGGTCCAGAAAAAAAATATAGAAATAACAAGCAACTTGCAAAAATGATGGAATTATATAGATATGAAGTAACGGATACAAGAACCACCCGGGAAGCTCTAACACAGAAAGTGCTTCGAAGGTTAAGTTCAACACACACTTAAGACGCTCGGAGAAGAGGAAGATAGACAACACAATATCAACTGCCATCTCCATGCTCAAAGTTACTATATGTATAACCCTAATAATAGAAAGTGCTGGATATAAATAGAAAACGTGAGAATCAAACACGACTCTAAGTTGTTGAGTATGAGCGGGAAGTCAGCTCCTCGGTTGCCGCGTGTCATTCCCTCATTCGCCGTTACAAAGTAAACAATATAATAAGCGCTACTGCTACTACTAAAAGAAACGCGTTCATGAAATGCGTTTTGACTCAATAAGACTTTACCCTACAAAAGTAATTATAACTCTGTAATTATCGAACATAATTAAGATGCAAGGGCTGAGCTATGCATGGGCTGAGCTCTTCTTCTTTCTTAATCTGGATGCCATTTTTCTTGCACGTAACAATTCCCTCTTCTCAAAATGTCCTTGTCCTCAAGGAAAAATGGTGGATAACACCTCTGAAAATCTCCATAGTCTTCCCATGTGAAGTCTTCCTCTGCCATGTTGAACGATTTTTTCCTAAAATTTTTTTCCGGCCGGTTAACCACCGTTGACCGCCTGTCTCCGGCGTCGACTTTTTTTTTTTTCTTTTTTCGAATTTTTTTTTTCTTAGAAAAAAACATTTTAATTAATATTACTGTCTTGGCTACTAAATTACTGTCTCAGACAGTAATATTACTGTTTGGGACAGTAATATTATGAATATTATTTTCCCGAATAGCAATATTATTAATATTATTGTCTAAGACAGTTAAATTACTGGTTGAGAAAGTTATTTAGCAGCAGAGACAGTAATATTAATTAAAATCATTTTTTTAAGAAAAAAAATAAAAAAAAGAAGTCAATTAACAGTTAAATTATTATCTCCAACAGTTAAATAACTACTGGAGACAGTAATTTAGCAACGAATATAGTAATATTAATTAAACATATTTTTTTAAGAATAAAAAAGTCAATTAACAGTTAAATTAATGTCTCCGACAATTAAATAACTGCTAGAGACAGTAATTTTGCAACAAATACAGCAATATTAATCAAAAATATATTTATTAAGAATAAAAAAGTCAAGTAACAGTTAAATTACTGTCTCCGACAGTTTAATAACTGTTGGAGACAGTAATTTAGCAACGAATATAGTAATATTAATTAAAATATTTTTGAAGAAAAAAAAAGTCAATTAATAGTTAAATTACTGTCTCCGACAGTGAAACAACTGCCGGAGACAGTAATTTAGCAGTCAAGACATTAATATTTATTAAAATATTTTTTTTAAGAAAAAACAAAATTACTCAATTAAAAAAAAAAAAGTCAACGCCAGAGACCCAGGGGTCAGCAGCACCGGGAAAAAAATTTCAGGGAAAAAAAGTTTTTCAAAAAAAAAAAAAAGAAAAAAAAAGGGAAAGTCAACGCCGGAGAAAGTTGGATTTTTGTGAAAAAAATTGATTAAACCGGGGTTACAATTAAGGATTGGGTATAAAGGGTTTGGGGTAAATTGGCATATTCATGAATGTATTTTTTATTTATAATAAATATTAAAGGGAGGAGTTTGTTGCTGAAAAAGATATATCCCCTAAACTTCGAATAATAAAGATGGTTTGGTTGGGGACTTATGCACAAAAACCTATAAAAAAAATAGTTATTATTTAGTAATATATTTGTGGGTTAATAGAAAAAAGGGCCATGACAATGGCACTTAATTAAAAAAAGAAACTTTTCGTCTTTCAAATATTTCTAGTTCATTCAAATTTATTTGCAAATAAGGAAAACCCTTTTGCATATACAAAAATTACCCCCAGTTCCTTGAAACTCAATTCATCTCCAATTTCATGATTTACACCCCAATTTAGCCCAATTTCACCAATTAACCAATTTTGACCATTATTTCAATTTTGACCCGCCACCACCAGAGACCGCCGGTCTCCGGCGTTGATTTTTTTTTTCTTAAAAAAAATATTTTAATTAATATTACTGTCTTGACTGCTAAGTTACTGTCTCTAGCAGTTATGTAACTGTCGGAGACAGTAATTTAACTTTTAATTGACTGTTTTTTTTTTTAAAATTAATTAAATTAATAGAAGTATCTTGGCTGTTAAATTACTATCCCAAACAGTAATTTAACTGTCTGAGATAGTAATTTTACTGCATTAATTAATTTGATCGTCTTGGCCAGCAATATTACTGTCTCCGACCGTAATATTACTGTCTCCGACAATAATATTACTGTTTGGTATAGTAATATTAGTAATATTACAGTTCGGGAAAATAATATTGATAATATTACTGTCCCAAACAGTAATATTACTGTCTCAGACAGTACTTTAGCACCCAAGACAGTAATATTAACTAAAATAAAATTTTCTAAGAACAAAAAAAAAAGTCAACGCGGAGACTTGCTGTCAACGGCGGTTGACCGGCGGAAAAAAAAAAAATTCAGAAAAAAAGACGTTAACACCGGAATCTGGCCAGAAAAAAAAAATTCAAAACAAAAAAGTATTTTCTGAAAAAAAAAATCAAAAAAACTTTAAATGGAGGTTAATGTGATATATTTGTTTAAATTCGGGGTCAATGTGTAATCTTAAGGAAGTTAGAGTATAATGGATGTAATTGATAAAAAAAATATATTATGGAGGGTATTTTAGACTAAATATATGGTGATGGGTTTATTTGAAAGACTGTTTTTTTTTTTTTTTTTTTTTTTTTTTTTGTAGACCAATGTGCATTTAAGTCCCTTGTCATATCCCTCTTGGCCATTTGCCCTAAATTTGTATATGTCAGTTTTCTTGTTTAATTAATTAACTAGTAATTGTACATGTGCGATGCACAGGACAACAAATTGCATTGTTTTGA